CAACACTACCTCCCACTCTCTTACATTAATTCAACTAGGTATCATTCTTTTAATTCTTCTATTACTAATGATGAACATCTAAGAACTCTCTCTCAACTATCTAATAACAAAGGCTATAGTCCTATAGGCATTAGTTATAAAATACTTAAACATATTAGACCTCTATGCACTTTTGCTATCATTGCTCTCTTTAATTGTTGCCTTCTTGAAAACAGAATTCCTAAGTAATAGAAACATAGTTATATTTATTCTATTCCCAAATGAAATAACTTTGATGATGATCTTAACCTTACTTGATCTATCAGCTTTGTTGAACATATTTATAAGCTTTATACCAAAATTCTTACCAATTGACTTAGCTCTGTATTTTTAACCCATTCCATTTTTTCATCTTTTAATTATGTTGCCTTTTCTAACAATAGTACCTCAATTCCTATTCATATTCTTAATAACCTTATTGAAGATGCTTCTTGTAATCATAAGGACATTTGGTTACTTTCATAAGATATGAGTAAAACCTATGATTCTGTTAACTTTATTCTTTTTAAACATGTACACTTTTGTCTCTCATTTCCTTTATTTACTATTAACATTCTCTCTAATCTTCTTACTGATCATCATAATCAAGTTATAACTAATCTTGGTTTAACTTCATCCTACTCAGTTTACAATAGAATTGACTAAGATAAAACTATTACTCTCTTGTTATAGCATATTTACTATGATCTACTTATCTCTTATATATACTCAAACACTTCTGGTTACAAATTACAATTCTCTTGGACTACTAACCTCAAATTTCAAATATCTAACTTATTACAAAAACAATGCTCTGTCTTGACTTATATAGATGATACTCTTTGGATTGCTTCATTACAATTTGAACTATCACATATATTATCTATAACTGAATCCTTTTATACTATGACCAACATCTAAGTCAATCCTTCAAAATTCATTCTAGTTACCAACAATTCTCCATCTCATTATATGTCTATCTCTTATAATAATCATCTTCTCTTTCTTTATTCCTCTAAAATACCATTTAAAATTTTAGATTGTTGGTTTACTTTGAACAACAAATAATTCAAATAAACAAAACTACTTATTCTGAATCCTCTTAATTAATCCAAATTACTAAAACCAAACATATTACTGACTCACATGCTCATTATATTATTAACACAATAATTATTCTTATTCTTGAATATTGGCTTCAAAATATTATAATTAACTAATCAATTTACAATAAAATTTTTACTTAGCACATTGGCCTTGTCAAACTTAAAGGCAAACTTTATCATACAATACCTTTTAGTACTCTTCTATATCTACAAATTTATAATATCAAATATATTTAAAACATTTAACTGAAATACCATATTTCTAATCTTCTTAAATGACTTAATAATCCTAACTTATTAGGTACATCTACTTATATTCGAATCCAATAATTACAAAACAATCTCTGGTCTTTAACTAGTATTTTTTTTCATTCCAGTCCAATTATTGATAGTCCTAATCACCTAACTACAAACTTTAAAATTATACAGTTTATTAAACATATTGGCTAAACATTCTTAACTAATCTAACTTATAACATTTCTTATACTCTACATGATGAAACTATCTCTCTTTAATCACTTTTTTCTTTCTATTCTAAATACTCTGTTTTTAATAAACAACTTAGACACTACAAACTTCTTTTCCTTGACCAACTTACTACCTATGATAATTTATATTTATTACATTGGCAATATATTTCTTCTAAACTAAACAAACTTTTTAAAGGAATCATACCTCAATGGTTTACTATCTTTGAGAACATTACTACAAGCTATTCTTATCAATGTATATTATACAATTATCTTAATCTATCTCAGTCAAACTACTTTTCTTATATTACTGATCATTTTAATTCTAATACCAAACTCTGACTACTTATTGTCCTCTATAATCAAATCATTGTTGGCAAGACCAGAAGACATAATAGTCCTATAGGCCTTACTCTTATCACTCACTGGCACTGTTCATTCCAGTCTCAGTTTTCTAATCTTTATCCTACTTCTTCTTTTACTACTACTATATATCCTAGATATTATCTTAACTCTAATACAATCACCAAAAAGTGTACTATCTTTATTCCTACAAATTTGGTTATTAAATTACTTTGTCATATTAATTCTGACAAAACTCTTAACCTACATGCCAATTTTCTTGATATTACATATTCTGTAGCTATTCAACATCCTTTATATATTCTACTACCTCCTTTATTAACAATTAATCAACAACAATTACCTGACATCTTCCAGTCAGGCCAATTTACTAATAGCTTACAGTCTATTGCTAATTCTAACTACAACCTAACTACTATCTTATTTTATACTGATGGTTCTATTATTAAGCTTGGCACCTCTCAATGCTCTATGGGTATAGACTGGGTCCAAGTTGATAACTCTACAACTACTTATTCATTTCAGATATAAATTAAACTTTGATTATACTTTTTTAAAACTGAAATTCTTGTTATTCTTTTAGCAATCATTACTATTTTCAGAAACTGTTTTGTCTATATTTTTACTGACTCATAATCTGTAATCTCCAAATATCACAGTATTTACTCATCAGCTTCTAAACTCATACCCTATACTTCTCTATTTGGCAAACTTTCATTAACTTTATTAATTTATATAATATTTAGCTTACTTTTTACAAAGTTATTGCATATCAAGATGATCCATTTAATAATCTTGTTGATCAGCTTGTTTGCAGTCACCAAATATTACCCTTTTTAATATTTTTAAATAACAACCCTTACAACTCTGCATATACATTATTTATTGATCAATTTTCTATTGAGATCTCTATTTGACACTCTATCTATATAATCTGTCAAGCTTATATTATAACACTTTGGATATTCCAATATTGTATTCAATAATGGTCTACTATTGTATCTAATATTAACTGAAAAGCCACTTGGCTTTATATTAATAATAATCAAAAAATTTCTAACTTTACATATAGTTTTCATTCCTTTATTTTAAAAATCTTTTGTGTCAAAATTCTCTTAGATGAATTACCTGTTCCTCATATTCTTTATAAATATAACTCTTTTTACTCTTCTCTTTACCATCAATACAATCAAACTAGTTCTTCATTATACTGAACTTTCTGTCTTTTTACTCAAATAATTTATTATTTAATCTCTAATTTTCTCAACTGCATCTTAAATGTTACTGTTCTTGACATGTTCACTAATTCTGTCTCAAGAAATTCTTATACTTAAACAGTTTTAAACTGCACAACTTTTCTCATATACCATCTCTTATTTCTATTTTATCTGACTTAGTCTCTATTGATCTTATTTCCACTATTCACAATATGTCTATTCCTTACTATACAATTATCTCACTTTCTATTAAATTTCTTCTTCATTTAAACTAACAAATATAAAACAAATATGAATTCCATATTGTATTTTATGATCAACACAGTCTTCAATTATATCTTTCACAAACTCAACTCATAATTCTCTTTCTAGTCTACCATTATCCCCTATTTCAATACCACAAATTATTACTAAAATTGATCTTTGAACTATCCAATAGATTAAATACATACCCCTCTCTCATATATTATTAATCATACCTAAATCTAGGTAAGCCTTGACCATTCTTGTAGGTTTAGATCACAGATTATATGTCTGAGTTTTTATTCTTCATATGTAATTTAAAAGCAAACTTTTCTTTGTAAAAACTTCAATTGAATTTCAATAAAATTAAAGGTATAGCCTCATTATAAATATTAAAAAAAAAATCAACTAATCAAATTTAATACTTTTATGTTATCTAGAAAACTTTAAACCATCTTAAAAAAATTTTGTGACATATATAAATATATATTTTTTAAATATAATAATAATTCACAATTTTACCATAATAGATAAATTATTTTATTTATATTTTGCGAAATTTTAAAAAAATTGGTTTTAATTTAAAAAAGTTTTACAAGTAGTATAGCTAATATGACCATGTGAAGTTTTCCGTGATATTTTGCAAAATTGATTACGTAATTTCATGCAAAAAATATCATGGCAAAAAAATTTACGCGATCATATGAAATGTCGGATAAGTAAATTTATTAAGCAGATATGGTTCAGTAATAACCATCCTTATGATACATTTAATGAATAATAAAGATTTTAGAGATGTGTAACCAATAGGTAGAAAGGTTTTGTACAGTCTTCTTAAAATTTGGCATTTTGTTACGCATTACGAATTCAATTTTTTATTCATTGGAATTATGAAATACTAAATCTACTCACCGCAAAATGAGTTATTTTCGTTCTGTACTTATTTTAGCATTTGCACATTTGTAAAGGTTCTGGGTAATTAGTCGCCATTAAAATAAAAATAAAAATGTTTCTATTACGATATTTTTGATCATGCCATTATAATCACTGATACCCATTATGTACAATCCCATTTCGTCAATCGTTAAAAATTCGATATTTTAAGAAATTATGCATCTAGTAAAGTGCCTTTAGAGAATTTCTTTGCATATTGTAGCTAAATTTCTTTTTTTAAAAAATTATAGTAAAAAGAATATTTGCATTTGTGTATTTTAAACTAGAATAATACTATGTATTTAAAGAGTATAATATGATGTGCATAATATTTATGGAAACTATGTTTAATTTTAAGTTTCAAGCTACGAACTAGTAACACTCGTTCGTTATTTCGTAATAATGTGACATATAGTATAACATTTTGCGTACTGTACATACCATACACACATATATTGTGGTGAGTCAAATATCTCCATATTCAACATAATACACGATTGTATTTATTAATTAAAATGTTTCATGGCCTCTAATATAAAATCAAATACACAAAAAAAAAAAAAGAAGGTTCTTATAGAATCATAATTAACCAAAAAAAATAAATAATAAATAAATATTTAATTTAAATTTATAGTCAGTTTTTCCTAGTCTATGATAAAATTTCTCTCATATCGTCCAAAGAATTTTTCAAAATGCTTCTAAAACTGGAACTATCAGTTTCTTGGCATTTTTTATAACTACTAATACTAAGTTTTAATTTGTCTTTTCCAATAGAATAACAAATTCCATATCCATCAGGAACTACAGCTCCAAAACCACAATGAAAACCCAATGCGGGGCTCATATTTGAAGAAGAAAGTTTAAAGTACATTGATTGAATATATGAAGGATCATTAAATAATGTTGCCTTAGATTTTTCTTCTTCATTACGGATTTGGCATCGAAGACCTAAAAGGTGACGATCTACTCCACGACCTAATAAATGAAAATATTTAGATCAATCATCGTTCGAACAAAATAATTAAAAATGCTTTCACGTACCATTAGTAGCTGAGATCATATACTCAGTGTGTGATTTAATAGCTTTCGTGAGTAAAGCAATTTTTTCATCTTTCTATTAATAAAAATAACATGATTTAATCAACGTCACACACATATAATTAAAGTCAAGTGAAAGCAACATTATCATACCGGCACATTTGGATCATAAAAAGCTTTGGTAAATGCAACAGTGTCCACAGAGCAAGTTCTCACAGTTTCAGTACGACCATGTAAAAAACCTCTAGTTGAAGCAGATTCATAAGTCGCACATGGTTCACCATAGCGTTTATAATATGCAAGTTGAATTGCCATTTGAACAAATGCATCAGGACTGACCTTAGCTATAATAAATAGAAATGATTATGTTTATATATTTCAATATTTTTGTTAGAGAAAAATAATAAGAATATACATATAATTTACCATTTTTTAACCATTCAGAACCATATTCACTATAGTGCAATAAAACACTATCGACATTATCTATTGCAGCTTGAATATTAATCTGCGCTTGTTGAATGGTGTTCATTATAGAATTATCAACAACCCATTTCAAGTATTGAGGGGGTGATAACTCAATGGGAGATGCATTTGAAGGATCTTGTGCTGGCTCACTTTAATTTTTTAACAAAGATATTAACAATAATTATTCAATATCTAATTAATTTGGCTTTGGATTTTTTTTTACTCACTTTGCAATGATATAATCGAATATGCGACCTGGGATTACAGCATCTGAAGGTGAATGCTATTTTAATAAATTGATAAAGTGTATAAGTATTAATGAATTGTAAAGTTGTAACTTTAAATTGAGTCACCATACCTCACCACTAACACCAGTACGTCCATTATTAGCCACAATTAATTGAATGGCTTTATCAAACCATCGATTTTGACCATTGTATCCATGAAAACAATTATGATGAGAAATATCTATATTCGTATCAGTAGGATAGTCATCCAATGCTACACAAAATAAAGCAGTGTCAATCGCTTCAAAGCTGATCTTATTTTCTGCAGATGAAGATTCAAGCTTTTTGCGAGCCTATAAAATAAACAAATGAATTTAACAAATATATTATCATGGGTAATAGAATCAATAATAGAATAACTAACGGATAAAATACCGTTGCCCAAGTATCACGATGTTCACCAGTCAATAAACCTATTGGAGGCTGTAATTCCGTAGAATTATTCACTTGATCGACCACCAATTGGAGTTGCCTAAAGCGCAAGATTAACACCCAAATATTAAATTTAATAAGTTTTTGCATTTTAAATGTTGGACAGCAGTATAAGAGGATAAAAAGAACCTTTTAATTTCTTTAATAGGAACCCTTTCACCATTTCCACCTAAGACTTGAACTTTGAAAATTTGGTCTTTAAAAATCACAACAATATGTTTAGCAGTTGCAGGCCAAGTTGTTATAATACGGTCGGAAGGGAAATCAGCAATCCGTGAAGCACCAAATTGTTTAGTATATTGATCCATGCACAATGGGCCTTGGCGAGTTTTCTCAGGTGGTAATAATTCACTGTACAATTTTACAGATCAAATGTAAAATATATTGTCAAATATATTAAGTTAGAAATCATTAATGAAGGTAAATTACTAAATATAACTTACTTGTTAATCATATCATTAAATGTCAAAGCATTTGATATTAATCCAGCAGTTCTATCGATTTGAAATTCGGAGGTTTGACCCTTTGCAGGAGGACTCTTTAAAATTCCGGTAGCAGGATCATTGAACTCAACCCACCAATTAACATTTATAAGAGATGGTTCTCTCCATTCTAAATAGGCTTTGTTTAACCAAGTGGTCTCGAGCCAATTGTACTACAATAGTAAATATGAAACCATTGTTAAATCAAAGATAATTTATTGAATAATTGAATTTGATCTTCGTACTTTTTCACTTTTATCAACATCTTGTAATCTTTGTTGGAGAACTTCAGCAAAACCACCTTCTTTCATAAATTCATCAACAGCATTGACTGCTCGATTATAATCCGAATCAGATAAAAGAGGCAATAAAGACTTTTTATAACGCTCAGCTGTTTCTTTCAATGATGGAATTGGAAGACGAGGGATATTGTTTTGATTCGAAAAAGTTTTTTGATGGTTGGTTTCCATTTGAGTAACAACAGTACGTTTTTGAAGTAATGATGCTACTTTTCTATTTTAAAGTTAAAATTAAAGTATAGGATAAACGAGATGAGAATTTGATAAACTTACTGATATTGGTTAAAACTTTTCTTAAATGAAGTAGAATAAAATGGCCGTGCTAGCGGTAGGGTGAAACGTACAAGCGTCATATTTATGATAGATGAATTTGATCAATTACAGCGGATTTTTTGATTATATGCATATTTATTTATTTGATGATCTATGAGTTCCTAATTAGGGAACAGCAAAGACGGAGTAACGGTACCGATAATGAGACCCAAAGTAGATATAACAATAAAACTCGTGAAAGATGTGAAAGATTCATACGTAAGAATGCATAGCCACGGAGTCGGGGATTAATAAAGGGACATTAGAAATCAGATATAAAGGACTATCCTGTTGGTGGGTCATGTGAAGTTAGGGAACTGCGGACCGAATAAAGATAGTAGTGTTACTATTGTTTTGGGAGAGCTTATAGATCTATCGGCACAATTTAATAGTTAACTTATATGTTCGATTATTTATATGTTCGATTATAACGATCAAATCAGGTCACCGACAATTAATTTAATACCGATTAAGGTAAAATATGGCGAAAGCCATACTTAATAATATCAAAAAGGACGGGTAACAATTAAACAATAAGGTAATATCGAGATATGTACTATGATCGATAAGAATTTTTAACAGTAAGAAGTAATTAATTAATAAAGATAAAATCATACAACAATTAAGAATGCGATTCTTATTATAAGTCCGTTATAACTAAGACATCGAGTCTAAGACTTTATTAGAAGAGCGAAAAGACAGCAGCTCTTTTATACTTTTAAAACACAAAGTTCAAACTATCTTAGCCTCTACCGTTACATTAGTCCTATAGGTAGTCCTACCCTTTCTATTAAAGTGTTACTGAGCCGAACTATTACCATCTTTCTTTTAGACTTTTCTCTGTCTAGTTCTACCCTTAGATCTAACCTTAGTTCTTCTTTACTCATTAGTTCTAACTACCTACTATAACAACAAATAAAAGAAATCTGAAGATAAAAAAATAAATAAATAAATAAAAATGACGAATAAATAAATATTTATATATAGATCTATGTATCTAGTCAACACCTTAGCCTCACAATATTCTAGTGGCTTATCATAACATACCCCAGTCACAGTTTTTCCAGAGGAAAACCCGTGACAGTAGGTCCTACTGGCCTTTAAAAAGATGTTACAGATCCTAAAGGTGTCTAAGGAGGTATAAAAACAAATTTTAATGTTACACAATGTCCGTGCAAACACTGGCTAAACAAACACTGAAATGAAAAACTAATATATTAAAATCTTAAGAACAAAAGAACATAAAGCGAGATAATATAACGATAATAAATGATCATTTGCACTCGTAAAATAGCAAAATTGATTTATAAATAGGTTAAAACCGAATCAAAAATAAATTAAAAATAATCAAATAAAAATTAAAAATAAAGATTAAATCGAGTAATCGAATAAATCAAATAATAAACTTGTCATTGTAATGTATTAAAATCTTGTCATAAAAAGTTTATAATATAATCAAAGTTTGTAATCGAGCAATTCCAAATAGCATTAACCTATAAGAAAAGAAGATGTAAAAGAATTTAGAGAAACTTCACGACAAACTATACTATTAGAAGATAGTTATATACGTACGTATACGTTTTCTGCGCCTCGTCACTGTTAAGGTTATGACTATTTTGAAAGCTTTGAGATTAATAATTCAATAGTCGTAATTTTCTTTTTGTCTTGTGTATAGTTGTTTTTGTCTTTTTGTTAGAGTTATGATCGTATGTGAAAAAATACCTTCAAAAGGTGGGGAATTGAAATATGTATATATACATTTTTGCATTTTGCATTGACATGGTCTAACGGAGTAATACAAGTATAAAAAAGGAAATTTAGTATGAAAATGTGAGGAAAATTCTTTCGACGTAAAACAATTTATCAAACGATTGAAATTAACATTCTTTTTGTAAATATAAATGACATTTTCATTGTCTTTATAACGATCATTTATATTTTAAAAGCAAACAAATACGTATTACATTATCGTGCAAACTATTATGATCATAGTTTTTTTTTCTTATTTTTTGTACGTTATTACATAAGCACAACAATCCCGAATTACAACTCGGTTAGCCACCCACGACTTGTAAATCATGATCATAAACATCAATAACGGATCACAAAATTTGCTTCGACAAAAATTTCATGATATTAATCGTTGCATGACCAATATAAATAAGGTCCAATTATCAAATTCTAGTCATTATTCTATCTTTCTTTTCAACGCGAACAACATGAAATTCCTATGATCCATTGAAATGCAATTCCTGTTCGACATATTATTTACTAGTTTATCAGAATCTGATGGGAGCCAAAACAAAGATATCAGATATGATTATATCATTTATTTATTTATTTACATTTTTTAAAAAATAAAATGGAACACGCAGGAAGACTATTTATTATACGAAATAATTTAAGATCAAATCTTACTATGATTCTGATTGTTTTCCTATTACATAAACGCATAAATTTGTCATGAAAAACAAGACAGATTTAGCAATCTTAATATATCAGTAATAATTATCTAAGTCTAGTATAATCAGACCAAAAATTTCGCATATAAATGCTACCAATACGTGATCAAAAAACAGTACAAATGATTATTCTAGTCAGATCGGTTATAATTTGCGCATTTATGTAACCTTCATACTTCTTGGAACCAATTTCATCAAATGCTAACATGTATTCATTTACGTGTGTCTTGAGGGTTGTCGTTCAATTCTTCGAAAGTTATTTACCCGCCAACATATTTCATCCACGGCACATTTTTCGATAAGACATATATTTGACATTACATGCTTTCGACAATCTTTTCTTGACACGAAATTTCTCCGACAGTCATTTCCTCGACATAAAATTGGCCCGATTTAGCTTTAGGGTTAACTGATTTAGAATTAGTGTTGCTTAGAATTATATGTTGGAGGGAAAATTTATTATCTAAGAAAAGGATTATCGAAATCATGTAATATCAAATATATGTGCTGTAAATGAAAAAGCATGTCGGCATTACTGTGTCGAAAAAATGTGTTGGCGGGTAAATAACTTTCGGGAAATCGTGCCGTAACCGTCTTGAGTTAATCCATCATAAAAATGATCTTTAGCAAGGTCTGTAATAGTTTGACCTAAGTCCTGAATATTATTAGTACTGATATTCGAAACAGCTGACAAAATAGGCATTATCATTATCAATATTAATGCTCATATAATTGTTAAGGATGAAAAAAATAAACTTCATTTTATTTGAATATATAATTAGTGAGTGTGAAATAGAACAGCCATATTAATTAGTGCTTGAATTTGCCTTCGAAAGTTACGCAAAATGAATTGAAATATATTTACATATTTAGATTATCAAAGTTGTTTCAAATTTTATTTGTCACCTTTTCTTCCTTTGGGCAATCATTTAGAAGTTTGTATTACTTATGGATGCATCCAAAACAAAAACTGAAAAGTTTGAATTCGCAAAATTCCGAATAAACAGAATATTCCAAGTATTCTAATACTTAATTCTCTGAACAATTGGAATAATTCGAATGTTCTAAGTAATTTGAGTAAGTGAAAACCTGACATTCTAAAAATATGTTTCTACGGACAACGGAATACGGACTTTAAATGATACTATTTGATCAAAAAACAGCATAATTCATTATTCTAGTTAGTTAAAACCTCGCATTCCATTGTCCATAGAAATCTATTTTTAGAATGTCAGGTTTTCACTTGGCGGCACCCATTTACATAAAATACCCTTTAGCATAGTATTTTTTAGAAAAGCTCCGGGTACTATACATAGTTTATAATATAATCGATTATATAGCACCTCTCTATTATACGCTTCTATTACTATACCCCTTTATGCCTCGGGTATTTTTATTCCACAAAATACGGCAAATAAACGAAACAATTCGAATATTCGGTAGTCCAAAGTAGTAATTACAAATAAATACGTCATTGAGAAATATAATTAGGAAATCGGTACAAGTTCTTCGGAAATAATAGCGATAGATTTTTTATAAATTAGTGACTTGAATGCACAAATCAAATATTTAATTTGAAAAATGTTGAATAAAAAAATTACATTACCAAAAAATGTAGTTCAAGATTCTAAAGACCAGGTCAATAATAATTTACAACAATTAAGTTTAAGTAATGATAAATCACAACATTTTGTTGAGAGTCTTTGTAATATTTATGATGAAGGGATTAGAAAAGGAAGAAACTCGAATTCAATTCTAAATTCAATTGACAAATTCTTAATAAAAAATACTTATAAACAAGAGGATGTAATAAACCTGTGTTTACACCATCAAACTAATCCAATTATTCAATACATTCTTGCAAGTTTCTATCATTATGGTAAATGGGTAGAAAAAGATAAATCTAAAGCATTTTCTTATTATAAAAAATCTGCTGAATTAGGAAATCTTAAAGGAATATTCCAACTTGGTTATTGTTGCCAAAATGGAATTGGAATTGAAAAAAACGAATATAATGCGTTTATTTATTATAAAATATTATCAGATTTGGATGATTATGAGGGGTTGCTTCAAGTTGTAAATTGCTATAAAAATGGAATTGGGATCAAAAAAGATGAACATAAAGCATTTGAAATTTATAAAAAATTAGCTGATGTAGGCCATGCTATCGGAACATATAATCTTGGCATTTGTTATCTTCATGGCATAGGGGCATTTACAAGTATTATGTAATTACCTCCCCCTCTGGAAATTTTCATTAGACTGACCCAGTATTAACCTAGAGTCAGTCATTTGATTTTAGCTAAAGTCACATGGTTGAGCTTTAAGCACAGACATGTGACTTTAGCTAAAATCAAATGACTAACTATAGGTTAATACTGAGTCAGTCTGATGAAAATTTCCAGAGGGGAAGGTAATTACATAATACTTATAAATGCCCTAGGAGTTAAAAAGGATGAACATCAAGCATTCATTTATTATCAGAAATCTTCTAAGATGGGGCATGCAGGTGGTACATATAACCTTGCCTATTGCTATAGAAATGGATTTGGGGTTAATAAAGATGAGTATACGGCATT